TTCCAAAAAATAATTTGATAAATTTCACCACACGCCTACTATGTGATACATGTAGATTAAATGAGGCTGCGTTGCCATGCCGTATTATATTATACTTTCTGATAATGTGCTATGTACTAGCTAAGTTAAAGCAGGCATTTTATCGAGGTCATCCTAATTCGCGTTTTTAAAAATCCCTGGCATTTGGCACAACGATAAGTAACGATAAGTTTCAACTTATCGTATGTTTATGACGCGCTTTCCTTTCGTTTATCCAGAACTAGCTCATTTCCAGGTTAAATGGAAAATGGGTCAAAATTAAATTAGCTCATCTGGACTAATCCCTCTCTTAGCATTTTGGTTTAAAAGGTCTAATAATTAGAGACTTACTAATTGAGCTCAAAAGGTGGTTTGATTCAAATACAATCGAAATTTCCAAAATTATTTTTTTTTGAGTAGTAAGAACCATTTAATACGTCAATAACATCACTGACGTAACAGTAAACATTGAACTGTATAGACACGACGAGATAATTTCGTTGAATCTTTACAGAATGAATTTTTAGTAATTATAATAAGGTCATTTTGTATACTCTAGAGATAAATCTAGTCTATGGATTACTTAGGAAATTGTAGGTAACTTCATCAAAAAAACTTCCTTTAGACAAACATAAGTATTGACCTGACCAAGTTCATGTTCTATGCAACTTTTTAACTCCTCTTGAGAGTGCATGGAACGTTACGTATAACAGGCATCTTTTATAATAGCGATAGAAAATAATAGCAGATAATTGATAGAATACTATATTTGAAGTAGAAAGGAAATGGTTGGAAGTTGATCGATAAAAACCTGCGATGGTTAATTAGACGATTCAATGCCAAGTTAATTAGTTAATCAATTAGCCAAGAAATCTTATTAGCAAAGTTCCAATGCCCTCCAAGTTACCCCCAAGCTCGCCCAAATGACTGAGGAGGCTCAAAAATGTAATCAGAAACGTTCCCTAATCCTTGGGCGTAGTCGCAAAAACTATCCCCACCTAAAAAAGAAGGACAAATCGAATGGAATGGCGGCGGTCCTTTCTCGTTGCTATGCCCTCGACGAAGGTGAAACAGAGGTCGAGTCCGAAATAGCGCAGGTACGCGCAAGTCGGGAGGCGACGGCAACGTCGCGACCGCGTGCATGGGGGGAATAAATAAACTCGTCTGCGAACGTTCGGCTCCGTCTTGGGATTGGGTCGAATTCGAGAATCGGTTTTGAAAAGAGAATTTTCGTTCCCTTCGGACTGGTGCAAGCCTGCGCCCACGATGCACGGGTACCCATGGTGAACAATCAATGCCTTAGTTAGACCAAATCGAGCAATCTGGCAACCTCGCGTTAGAACCTAAACCTCCCCAAAAATTTTGTAATAAAGTAATAGGAGTAATAAAGTAATAGGAGTAAGAAATGTTGGACAGCACACGTGGTCCTCCAGGTGGTTTAAATCCTGAAATAATAAATAATGAATAAAAATACATTACTAAAATAACATGTTACAAAAATTCAGCTACTGCGATGGTTCATAATAAATACATAGGTAGTATCATGGCAATTTTGTCATTTTGCTTTTAGTGTCTCGATAAAAACAAGTAGGCTATACAGGTGTTTGACAGTTGGTGCTCCCGTTGCGCAGGAGCTTGTCAAAAAAACCTCCCGGCATCGATACTCCAACCTGGCCAAAAATATAGCCACGATCTGGCGACGATAAATACTCCAAAATAATAACGGGTACTGTGTAAAAGTTGGGATTCCGCGTTGCCACTGCGGCTGCGCATTGCGCGTAGAATCGTCAACGTCGCCGACCTGGCCAGACCTCTCTCTGCCTGTAACTTCTTGAATTGAGGCCTGTTTGTTCATGCTGTTACGTTCGACGTCAGTGGCGGTTCTGTGTTTGGTTATTCGATTGGATTAAAATGTGTTTTTCGCTTTAGAAACTTCGCTCTACGGTAACTGGTGCAGCTCACGCAGCAGGTCTGAGTAGGTAAGTTCCACCACAGACTTTACTAATCGACGGAAACAGGGAAACATAATAGAGGTGTCGAACATAACCTCACTTTCGTAACTTTCGTTCGGTTAGCTGTCAACCTGGTTCATGTTAAACTGTCAAATGGAGTTTATGTTGTTATTAGAGGTTATGTATTATTGTTATAATTGTTATTGTGCATTGTTGAATGATATTAACAATTAAAACATGTTTCAATGGATTAGTCGAGTGTTAAGGTAAATATTGGGATTTGAAATTTTGCGATGTTGATTAATTTATTTCTTCTTATGCTAATCCATTAATCAGTGGCGCAACCAATATTATTTATTATACTCAAAATTTGTTGAGTGTATTTAAGGCCTTAAATTTAGCTTTGATTGAATCGTTATCGAATTATCAAGCAATTTTAAACAATTGTAAGTGATAATTTTATAAATAATTTAGAAAAGTTCCATCAAATCGATTAATGGATACTACCTATTCGATTACATATCATTCAATTTCATTCCGTTAGGGCTTATTTTTTATTAAAAAACTAATATTAGTAGGGAATTGACTTGATATTTTACGCTAAAATTTTGCAAAATTAAATTGTTTGGCTTGCACAATTAGTAGATTTTTGACTTCAATTCTAAAACACATTATAGGTTTTATATTGACCTATAATTATAGTAATAAATATTACCGAATATATTAAAAGTTGTAAATTATGCTCGGTACTTAGGTACCTTGACTATTTAGAATTTTATTAAAGCTTTGCAATAATGCTCCTTATAATAAATAAGTCAAGATTCTCTAATTCTGAAATAATATAGGTTATAATTTCTTTATAAGCCATATTTACCAAGCTTTAACTCAAGGTCAGAACATTATTGTCAATATACGAGATTGGATACCACCTGCTTGTTTCTTTATAAATATAAATATCGATAATAGATATTCAATAATAAGGGTTAGAATCAATTGTAAATTACGAGTAGATCACAAAATTAAGGCCGCCAAAGCACGCCCTTTTAAATTCATAATTCTCGCGGGGTTAAAAATAGGATTCAAATCAATTAATGTAGTCAAATTTGAATATTATTGGAATTACTGAACCGATGTTTTCCCATAAAATACTCTGAAGTGGAGCCTAAATCAATTATTCAGATTAGTAATGAAGTTATTATTATGATTTTTGGACAAACTCTGACATATGATTTGTCAATTAGTTCTAATTTGGTCTCCTCTTTGGGCAAACGAAATTACTCAGAATGGAGGAGAAATTTTGAGTAAAACGGAAAGAACCTCTTTTAAAAACACATCGCTTTAAAAAAATACCGTTTATCTGACTTAACTTCCATCAATGAGGCGAAAGAGAAGTATGGCGTTATATCTAAAATGCGGTCGGGCCAGTTCAAGTTGATAGAAAGGGGAGTGAGGTTGTTCTGTGTGAGACAGAAATAGCCCGCCGGGGCTTCTACTGATACCAAATTGGGCGTGGGGAAAGGGGCGAGCGCAAATGGAGAATTCCGCTACTTTTCCTTTGGAAATGGGTAGAGGATGAAATGGAAATTGTTATGATTGTGGGAGAAGAAAACTCTTCGAAGTGCCTTCGCCTCGACATTTCATCGGACCTGCAACGCCCGTGGTTATTAATACATATAATGGATATTTGACCTCGGTCATTTATTCAATTATTATTTCGCCTATACATTTTCGATGTAATGTATCTCCTTTATTTCCATTTTTGCGTCATAATTGATTTGGATTGTTTCGTAAAACTCTCTCCAGAGAATTTTGTAAAATCGACTGAACTTTAAAGGACCTTTAAGGGTGTGGTTTGGAGGAAAAGCGAATAAACCTGGAACCAGTTTTATTGATTTTGGGGCAAGTGGAATGCTTGATATATTCACTGTTGGGTCATCTAACCAACAACCAAGAATCGTATTAAGATTAATGAAATAGCAGGAGTTTGCTACGTAAAAGTTGGTAAAACCGTAGGAGAACGCAACGACATCATGACGCAGTAATTTCTACTGCACCGCGCACAACTCGACGAGTTTATTCGCGACATGAAAAAGGGGAAGTCGCATGAGCGGACCAAACCAATAATAGTGAAACAAGTTTGCGTTGTGCCAAAGCCAAAGGCCAGTCAAGTAATTCATTGTTATAAAAAAATTTGCGTTTTTGTTCACTTATTAACTTGTCTAGTTCTTTTTTGTCAAAAAACTCTTTTAATATCTTATTCAGAAAGTTTTTTGCCACTTGGATTGGTATGGAGGAGTTGGAGGAATATTCATCATTGGTTGCAATATCAAATTATAATGGCTTTTTAGAGCCCTTTTGAGTACGATCCGTTCGACCTTTTAGGGTGAACCCTTATCCCACATCGATCGAGGTCTCAAAAGAGAGACAGGAGAACACCTGTTTCACAGGTCAAGATTTTCGAGTGCTTCATCGTATATTTTCCATTCCTATTGATCTCATATTACCACGTTGCTGAATACAAATGTGGAATAAAAATAAATGTAAAACACGACATGTAGAAAACTATATTCCCATTAAATACATCCAGGTCGTTAAGATATTAGAAATATTCAGGATATCATAGATTAGATAAAGAGACTTTCCAAATAACCGTCCCTAAACAAGACCAAAAAGGAAAAGAGGAAAAGCAGCACTTTTTTCATTAACGGGGTTTGGAGTGTGCCCTCGTTCGCCGAACGGGGCTTGCCAACATCATGTTGACAATCACGAAAGCGAGAAGGAGAGAAGCAAAGAGGAAATAAATATACGTAGGCAGCGTTGCCGGTGTCCACGAAGCCTTGGTGTCCGGCGCATGTGCACTATCTTCGACCTTTCTCACAGCCGTATGGATTTTTTGAGTTTTTCGAAAGTTCGGATCTCACGGGGGAAGAGTGGGTTTGACAAATAACAAGTTATCGTAAAAACTACGAACACCAAGTTTAATTAAGCGAGAATTAGGAGGAATTTGATTCTATCGAGTAGGGACCAGTTGGAATATCTGAATCACCAAGGAAAGAGAGATGAGGAGCAAAATGAAACGGAAACTCTAATTGAAGAATAAAGCGATTCTGTACGCTCAAGATTTGACTAAAATTGCTGATAATTCGCGGATGGAACCTCCAAAGCGCACGCGCTCTCGCCGTTCCTCATCGGCCAATAGCTCTCCTAGCACCGCTATCGTCGAGCGCGAGGATTCGACTGGCAGTTTCCATTCAACTTGCACGTGGTAGAGTTTCCTCAGCAGAGAGAGCAATGGCCTCGTTGATTTCTCCATTGCACGATTTGGTGCTATAATTCTGATCACCTGCGTATTCCGCTTAGCATCGTTTGCTTACGGGTGACGGTAGAAATATTTGTAAGATTGTGGTATACTAATCATACCAAGTAGAATTTCAAGGTAGATATTATGATTGTTTAAGACTTTACAAAGCAGTGGCGTAACTTACAGTATTTCTACATATAAAATTCGTATTTTGAATCATTTTTAAGCCAAAACATTTAATGTGGTAGTCATGAATTAGTTACGTGTTATGACTCAATTTTTGAAATTATAACAGAGTTGCCAGATTTAAAATATTTTTAATGATTTGTGGATATTTATTTTACGAGGTAAAAAATTGAATTAGCTGTGATATTCAAAATAAAAAAACACAATAAAAAATAATACTTGTTATGAAAAATCTATAGTTATTATAGCTTAAACAAAACGAATAAATAATCCATTCAGCTCAATATATCAATCAAACCCCAATAAACCTCTGGGAATGTGCAATATGGCAAATCAGAGCGACATCTGTCAAAACTAGTGAAATTCGTTTTTAAAATAATTCATTCCAGGCTTTTTTCCGTTCCAGAAACAGCATGACGTCGACGTTGGAGCCGTGCGAGAGCCAATCCACATCGGGATCGTTGTCGAGCACGTTGGAAATATTCGATAAGTTCAAATCGGTCCAGAGCGAGCGCGAATCCGACGAGGAAAGCTTCCACATACCGTTATTAGGCGGTGATGACGAAACGGAAAGCAGCAAGGAAAATGTTAACGAGAGCGATACTTCGCTGGATTCCGCCAACGAAGATGTATCGAAAGGCAAAGAAAAAACTGTTTGTTATAGGAACATTACCAAAGAAAATGAGATTGAAAATGACTTGTTGGTGCAAGAATTAAACAAATATGTGAATAATTTTACTGACGAACCGTCTTGTACTGAAAACAGTAATAGTTTAGAAAATGCAAAAATAAACAATTCTTGTAAAGAAGCGAAAAATAATAGCACATCCTTAGACGATAATAAAAAAACCGAACAAAATTCGGAAGCACTAGACGTCAAAATTCCTGATCCTAACGAAAACCCAAAGGAAAGCGATGTGTCAAACAAAGATATTAACATAACCGAGACTGAAAAAAAATCAAACATCACTGAATCAACGGAAAACCTGACTGTACCACAAGAAATTTCGGAAGAACCCTCGAACAAAAAGGAATCCTCTAACATAGATCCTCAAGAAGAATCTAACAACCAACCCAGCAATAGTGAAGCACAATCGTATAAAAAAGACTTAGATCGCGAAGACTTATTAGACATATCGGTTATACGAGATGTGGAAGAAGACGACGCATGCGCCATAGCAGCCGAAACTGAAAAATCATCTGACACTGACGATCAAGAAGACAAACAAGAACCGGAAACCGATGACATGGAATTGGAGCCTGAAGATACTCAAACGTCGAGCGAAAAGGTAGAATATGACGAATTGGGCGAAGAAAATACAAGTGACATTGATCAAAAAGATAACGATTGCACTATAGACGAATTAGTGGAATCTAACAGCAATCAAAGTGTCGTTAGTGAAAAGATATCCGAGGCACAATTAGAAGAAAACGATGATTCGAAAAATGAAGGAGCCGTAAAATCAAGCACACCTGTTACTGAATTAAATGGTAAGTTAGCTTGTATGGTAGCAAATCACATGATCATAAAAAAACTTACTTAAAGAAGGCTTTCAATAAAACTACATTATTGAAACTCTTTAGAGACGCTTGATATATACTTTAATCTACGTCTATTTATAAATTATATTACGGTTGCGACTTGTGACACTGACACATTTTTCCTTATTCTTAATTCCAATTGCAATAATTTGGACACAAAGCAAAATATTAATAAAAATTCAGAACATAATAGGTACTCATACGAACGTTTTTATTAAACTTCAAAGGTGATTCTTTGACATGTTAATGTAATGGATGGATTTAATTTTCAGAAAACTCAGTTAATGCGAATAAAAGGCCCTTGGAAGAGGAAGGAAAGGACAGCACGGCAAAAAAGGTTCGTTTGGATGAGACCCAAGCCGAACCAGTTCCACCAAAAACGCTGATCACATTCGAGAAATACATGAAGATGAGAAATTTGGGCGAGAAAATGGTCAGATCCGATGTGGAGCAATTCGCGTTGCAGAAAATGTGCGAAGCCTTATTACACAAAACGCCGATAGGCGAACTGGAACAAATAATAAAAAAGCAAAAGATGATCATCGACAATTTGAGAAAAGACAATGTGCAAATGACGAAGCAATTTAGAGACTTGGAAATCGTACATAAAAAGCTCCTCAACGAAATACAAAATACCGCTCCCGGCAGCCAATCGAAACCCTTAGTACCGTTGAAGATCACCCGATCCGTCGGACTTCAAGTAAAATTAAGTAACAACCCGGAGATACTTCGTTCGAGGAAAGCTGTTTCCACCACTTCTCCGAGATCTCAAGGTATTTCCAACGGACTGAGTAGAACTCGACCAGCAGCTTCCTCTAACGTCGCTCGACAGGCAGGACCAGTAAGTTGTTAGAATTGCTGTCAATTTTTCCATCATAAATTAATTATTTATTGCAGGTTATTACGAGCAATTCTCCCCGAAAACAGGCGGCGCCCATTCTATCACAAGCTCTCCAGTCCCGCGTTCAACCCTCGCCAACTTTAAAAACTACCGCAACTTCACCGAACAGCAAACGAAACATCACACCTTTGAGGCCCAAGCAGAAGGAACCCGCCAAACAACAGCTACCTCCGGGCGTCATCGATCTCACCGACGAAGACGATAGAACTGGGAAAACTCTAGGCAGGGCCAGCATCCAAATGGTGAAGAACTTCAATTTGGTTACGAAAAAGAGCCCGTTAAACAAGAACAACGTTCCGCAGAACAACCTTACCAAGCCGACGGGAATTTCAAAAATCGGCATGCAACCCAGGAGCATGACGACGCTGCCGCAAGGCGTTAGACTGACGGCCGCCCAAATGAAGGGCGGCATAACGCTACCCAACGCCGTTGTAACCAACGCACAAGGCACCACGCAACTCATGTACGTCGTCCAACCGGGTTCTCTAGTCAACACGACCGCTGGCGGTGGTCAGAAGACTGTCCTGCTCAATTTCCAACCTACAAATGGAGTTTTAAGTGAGTTTAATGCTAAGCTAGTGGGTTGTTTTCTTAGTCACCAAGCAGTTGCTAGAATGTCCTATATATCCTAAAGGATATGGGAATGTTCTTTACTCGCTGGAAGATGATTCTTTGATTAAGTTGTAGTACAGATGGATCCATGGATTTATCACAACTAATACCAAAACTAATAGGTCATCTTCAATGACTTAGGCAATCCGAGCACCTGCTAATAGTTGGAATATTCTAAATATCCTAAAGGGTGGGAATGGCCTTCTTTATTCATCTAACTTGGAGACTTTGCTTGAAAGTTAGGCTTCTTTGGATAAGTTTAGCAGTAATGGATCCATTGGTTTGTCAAAACTAATACCTAGGTTATCTTCCTAGTAGGAGTGGGAATGTCCTTTCTGTTAGATACTTTGCTTGGGGATTAGATCTCTTTAGATTGTGTTTCTTTAACACCTAATTTGAATTGCAAATAACATTTTTTTTCAGCTTCAACACTAAATGGTTCAACGGTATCGGTAATACCAACAAAATCCTCGAACGCGATACAATTGAAGCCGATAAGTCACCCGGCGCCGTTGCCGCCGACGCCCAAGCCTTTGATAGCCAGCAGTTCCTTGAAGAAGCTCCTGCCGAAGCCTCATTTAAGTATTAAGAAGACGGATACGGGCATAATACTGCAGTGGCGGATGCCCTACAACCTGGACGAGTTCGAAAGCATAGCCAGCTACCAGTTGTTCGCCTATCAGGAGACGAACGCGCCGCCCAGCACGGATATGTGGAGGAAAGTGGGCGACGTGAAGGCTTTGCAATTGCCCATGGCCTGCACGCTGACGCAATTCGCCGATAAAAATAAGTATTATTTCGCCGTACGTTCCGTCGACATCCACAAGAGGATAGGAGCCTTCAGCGATCCCGAAGAAATATCCTTGTAAATATGTTAAAGTCGTGTACATTTTTTATATTTATGTTTAAGTCGTCTTATTAGTTAAATTTATTTTGTAAAATATAAAATAAACATTGTTTGATTGTTTCTTTTATGTTGTAGCACAATTACAGATTTCAAAATTGATAATTGAGCACAAGATACAACATTGTTTGCAGTATAGGAAATGGGTGCAACAAGGACAACTTCCATTAGTCTCTTATAAAGGAAAAAGAAAGATTGATATTGTAGAATCGCAATCTTCTCACTCTAACCACTGTTATTTTAATAATCTTTCTTTGTTCAACTTATAGGATAGTCCATATTGCAAACCCATTGGCTCTTTCCCATATATCATTTTGTTATTGCAATGGTATTATTGAAATAGTGTACAAATTTAACGACATTACGATGTTAATAATACAAAATTATTACTCTCAATCTTAAAGAAAGTCGAAAATTCTATGGAAACCACAAAATACTAGAAAAATTGATTCAATTTCGATCTTCCTACAGTAAATTATATTTAAAATCACAGCATCACAGTTTATGACCTACGATAACTTTTATAAACTCCATTTTTTTTTGGTTCCCCTTATAAAAATCCTAAAAACAAAATTATTATATGTTTGTACGTAACAAAAACGATCACAATTACCCTAAAGCGGTTTCGAGATCTGGAGCTTTGTAGATATTTTTATGGGAGTATTTGTGTTTTCCTTCGAACCGGTAGAATACAACATTTCCTTGATTCTCCCTTCTGCATCTCTTTGCCTCTTCGAATAACTACGACAAAAATACAATTAATCACAACTCCTCGAATCATTCTTTATGCAATATACCTTTTTTCCTAATTTAAATGGAACTACATTATCGTCTTCGGCGTGTAAAATGAGTATGGGAGAATCTACCCTGCAAATAAACCTATCGCTTTCGAATGTAAAACCGCTGTCTACTAGAGGCTGAGTAATGGTAGACTCAAACCACGGTAGGAACCTGAAAAACTACAAAAAAACAATCATTAAAAAGTATTCGAGAATTAAAAAGCACAAATGAATAAAGTAGAGTACTTATCACGTTAGTAACTATGACTATTTACGGGAACCACTGCACAAATGCCATTCGAAACTCACCTTAGCTAACGGAAACTCACTAACTTCCTCCCTCATGTTATTAAACGGCGCCTCTAGCACGATACCCTTCGGTTGCAAATGCCTCTTTCGCAATATGGATAGCGAATGCAACGCTATGCTAGTACCCAAAGAATGACCCCAAACGTAAACGTTACCTTTGGTCCTATTCGCTACCCAGTTATACATAAAGATACTATCCGATACTAATTTATCCTCGGAAGGCGAATCGTTGGTCGAGTCACCGTAACCTAAGAAAATCACGTTAATATTCGATATAAACACACAGTTAAAACTTACTTCTATAATCGAATGCAATGACGTGGAAGTATTTCCTCAATATTTTGTACAATTCTATCCTGTGTCCTGTCAATCTCGAGCCGGCGTTCCCGTGCATGTAAATAATAACGTCCTGGCCGTTACCTAAGGCCTTTTCGAAATATTCCTCTTTGGTTTTTATATCGTTTTTGTTACTGGGTTCCTGAAAATCGTTGGGGAGCATTTGCCACACGCCCAGCTTCATGTCGTCTTCGGTTTGAAGGTAAAAGTTTCTCGAATTCGGCAACCCGTAGGTTTCGGGATGGGTGTAATTCGCGTTGAACGGGAGGTGAACTGGAAAAAAATTATTAGTACTCGCTCCATTTGAATTTCATTCTAACTCACCATAATTTAAGAACACTATGTGAGTTTGGAATTTGTAGGAATATTTGAAAGCTATCGGTACAATAACGTAGACGATGAAGAGTAATAGTAATAATATTTTGAATAATATTAGGGATATTCTGAAATTAAAACAAAAAATGTATAAGTATTTCGTAATCGGTTGGAGAAGGTGTAGAATAAAAAGACAATTAAAGCGCTACAAACGAGGTAAATTGAATGCAAAAAAGGCAGATTACACATTTTTGAAAAAAATAAACAAAGTATCATAAAATTAGCCATTATTGTTAAATGTTAAACAAAACGTGTAATTTACTTTAATTAACATTAATAATTATTTTAAAAAATGTGTCTTAGAATGTAAGGAATTCTAGAAAAATACAAGTAAACAAGAACTTATTTATGTATGCAGCTGGTATCATATACCCATCAATAAATTATCAAAAGTTTTTATTCAATTAGATAACTAAGTTATTTGTAACATTAGCAAAAAAAAGATTAAGATATGGATTGTGCAAAGACAGCGCAATATTCATTATCTCTCTTTTTCTCAGCAGGGTTAATTAAAAATTGTTTACATTATTGAAATGGCCTATTTTCTATTGAAGACATTTACATCACTTGTTAATCTTGTTATTACCAGTAAATGCAACAGCATTGAAGATTTTTTAAATAAACATGAAAGAAAAAATATAATTAACTTGTTTTTAAACTACTGTAGCCTTTTTGGAGCAGTTTTTTAATAGAGAATTGTAGCAATATTTGACGATAAAGTACGATAAAAATATAAAAAAAAAATTTGAATCATTAAAATTAAAATGAAAATGAAGCATAAAAATATATGGCGTATAGATAAATAAAATAATTTCCTGTTTCATAGGAAATTCGAAAAATGGAGAAAGTCGGATATTACCTCACGATAATTTTAATACAATGATTTATTTGTTTATTTTATTAACTTGAAGTTTTTGTAATCTTCATAAATATTTTCAAATTTTTTTCAATTTCATTCCTACATTTTCATACATATGTATTGAATACTTTCTATTTTGTGATTAAAATTTACAGCAATTTTGATAGCGAAATTTTGATTCAACTAGGATTGGACTTAATTTAATTAAAAATATTATTTTTCTTTTATCATGTATGAGAAAATATAAGAAAACATTCTTTACATTATACACAATACATAATAACTAATAAAAACCGAAACGAACAATAGCATATATCCAAAAATAAGTCACTAAAATATCACAAGATATCCCAATTCGCCAAAATTTTCAATTTCAATCACTCAAATACCTTCTGCATAATCGCAACCGTTTCGACTTTTTCAAACTTTCTACGTCCAATATTTTGTACTCGTATTTTTTGGTTTCGATGGTCATCTCGACTTCTTGGCGACAGTACTGGTACTGAAAGAAAATCGAAATTCGCGATCTAACACACCCGCCGCGAAATTACCGAGTACCGTCGATTTGAACTTGACCGCCTAGACGTAAGTACTACGCAAACAGGACCGTATTACGATTATTTATTTCATTTCCCTATGAATAACAATATACGTTTTTTTGGGCCTGAATAAATTTTTCGTACATTAACAATGCATGTACAAAACACCTTGAAATGCTGTCCAAAATTATAGAAGGATCGAATAATCAAGTAGAAGCGATGTAATTACTCAAAATTATTCTACTACTAAATCAAATTAAGTTAATAAAAAATTACACAGTGATTAAAATGTTTCTTCATAAACTTCTAAGGAAATTCGTAGAAAAATTTGGTTTCAATAAGAAAAAGGAATTTTGGTGCTGCATAAGTCTCTAATATTACTTGCAAAATTCACTTATATTACAAATCAATTCACTAGTATAACAAAGAATAACTTTGTAGCACTTAATAACATCTAGTACTTTTACTTTGTAATACCCTTTTGAATTGGCAAAAACTTGACCCAAATAAATTAAACCTGAACTCATGCATACAACATGTTCGTAATTAGATTAGCTTGGTAGATAAATACTTTTCAATTGGAATTCCTAATACAGTACTACAACTAGTTCTTATTACAGTATTACAACTCATGGAAATGACTATATTGCAAACTGAAATGCACGATAGAGTATAATAAGAGATTATTGAAGAATGCTTATTAAAAAAATGTATTTATGCAAATACTTATAATTATGAGAAAAAATGACTCTTCTTGAATTCCCTGGAGAAATTTTGATTTAATTACTTTTTATATTGAAAGGGAACACTAATTATTATTTAACATCATAAAATAAAAATAACACCAAATAATTTTATATGAGTTACTAACATTATCTAACTAAAACATAAATTTACATAGGCAATGATGTTTAATGCATATATTCCTTAAATTAGGAAATAATTAAAGTAAGATAAAATTTGATAGAGCTTTGACATGAAATATTTCTAAAATATGCCAACGATAGGGAACATTTTCATAATATGTACGAGCTAAAAAGGGTCAAAATTCGAATTTTTTATGCGTCTACCAAATTAACAAGTTAACAATGAGTAGAATTAATTATACTTTAAAAGCACCATAGAAAATATTTCTAACAAAAATACATTCTCAATAATCTAACAATTAATAGTACTCCTGTCTTAGCACATAAATTTCCAATAATTATGTATGTATACTATATTTAAAAGCTCTTTATGATAAATCCTACGAATTTTTATATGGCGTTTTTTGTGTATACATATGTATATCTATTTTTAGTAGTAAATCAACGCTTTTATAGTAAATTTAAATGAATTTACAAATATACACAAACAAAATAATACTTAAATTACAATTTTCAAGCCATATTTTTATAGGATTTATATTGAAACATGGAAAATCCGATTGGCTAAGACATTTTTTGGACTATATTTCAAAATAAATTGTAAAATTATACATGAAGTTCAGTCAATTTTTAATTATGAGAAAATATAGATATAACAACAAGGCTGAATATTATCTATTCGTAAAGTTGTTTGCCAAAGTAACGAATAATTAATAATATTTTTAGGACGGATGTATGTTATAAATTTATAACATAATTACCAATACTATTAATTTGAATTATTCATATCAACGTAAATGAAAAACTAAAAACAAATTCGTAATTGGGGAAAATTTACCATCTCGCAAAATTGCACGTAATGCAACGAATAACAGTGGAATTAATCAAATTCGTAATAAAATTTATCTAGAATATTAAATTTTTAATTTAGCATTAAATTACGACGTACCAAAAACCGATTAAAATAGTTATTAAAACGAAATACTTACAAATTAAATCGATACAAGCTACAAATTACAACAAAGGGTAAACTGCCAACAAAAACACCGAAGATTGTGTTCTGATTTAAAGCCATTTTTAACTGAAACACCAAACATAAAACTGATATTATATTAACTATAGCAAATTAAGGCAAAGGCCACTTGAAACATATCCCAATACTTTAAGTATGTCATCAATGTTTCATTATTTTAAGTGCCTCATAGATAATTCCAGATTTTACTTAATCTCTTGATAATCATTAGATAATTTTGTTATTACGTATATACATAATTTCCTTAAAACAATTAATATTCAGTGACACAGTAACTCCAATGACACCAATTATCCATTAAAATCGAGTGTATTGTGTTAAATGCAATTTAAAACAATCCTGACCTGCATTACTCACAATGATGTTCTTATATAAGAACTCATTTATGGTTCAATCCTTGCATAATAGACTTTTGTAACAAATATAAGGAAACATCTACGCTATATGGTATTTACAGGAAATTAGTTTTGCTTTCATGAAAGTACCTGTTATTGAAATAATTGAACAAACAGAAGAAATTGCATTAAATTGCGAATTAAAGAGTTTAATCATTTTTACCGAAATCTGTTAGTTATTGTTAATAAGCAGTATTAGGTATTAGTAAAGTAATTGATGCAAATATTACTGTTGGTATCTTTTTAAAATGATATTTTATATCATAAAATTGGAGATCTCAGTTAAAAAGGCATGCATTTTGTAAACTTACATGCCAGTAAATAAGATTCGGTTGGTTTTTCACTAAATATAGACGTATAAAACTTGTAGAAAAATTACCTTCTGATAATTCTTCGTCTTCTTAACAGCATTACAAGTTACAGCTTCATGGACCTGCAAAACAAGGAAAATGTTAATGAAACAAAAAAAGAATTAAAGGAAGTGCTTAAGCAATTATTTAACAACAATTAAAATTGTTTACGTGAATTAATTCGAAAAAATTACATCAAAAATTCTTTGTATTTAAATTAATAAGATTGACTCCGAAAAGTTCATGAATATTCTTCGATTTTTTAACTATATTTAAATTACCTAATATAAACAATGAGCATCTACTTTTCATAGATAAATAAATTATTTGAACCAAAACATACCCAATAATGCAAATTAATAAGTATCTATTACATTAGTTTCCAAATTTGCTTCTGTTTGGTAAAATATTCACATTAAATTCTTTTCAACTTTCAACTTTCAACACAGCTGATTTATGTTAGTCAACTATCAAAGTCAAATGTCAATGTCAACTGTCAAAATTAGTTGTAAAGTGTATTGCCTATCTCATAGTAAACTATTTGATTAAACTATATTAATAACAAACAAAATATTTACAGAATTCGCAAGAATAAGCAATTAATGTTACAATTAATGAAATTAATAAACAATTAGTCACCTAAATTTCATAAACACGTTAAATTCCTCAGAGTGTTGCGCCACCTACGTACAGAAACTTCACCTAATTCGAATAAAAAGCAACAGAAATACCAGTTTCCATCGAATAAAAAGAAACAGACGATATTTTGACAGCAGTTTATTTACATCCAGCTCCATGGGTTTCAATTTTTCTGTTTACATTTTCAGTTCGTGCTTGTTATGTGCTTCGGGCGCGCGTGTGTGTTCAGTTTTAAAACTTACGTTACAACAACAAACGTTTTAATTACGATTTCCTAACTTAAAAATGACTCCCAATTAGTTACCGAGTCGTTCGCCTACTTCGAATTCGCCAGGCCTAAAATTGGTAAGCAATAAACACTGATTTTTAATTACAATTACATGTTGCATCCAGAAATTATAATCCCATGGAATGCTTAAATTTATTAATTATTCGGGTTTAATTAATACTTTAGTTACAGTACTGTTGGATGAGTTTAAAAATGTAACTTTAATGCCTGTTTTATTTGCAATTGGATTATTTTTCTAATGCTTTTAATTATCTATATTCGCATAAATTGTAAATAAAATGTATATTTAACGTTCTATGCTGCAAACTTTTTATTATTTTATAATGAAATAAATTGTTTTTTTGTATTTAATCATCATTATTAGTGCATTAGGCAGAGAATTTTGATGGGATGTTAATGCCAGCCATAGATCGTTTCGCTTTATTTAAAATGTTTCCTGCTTTATACGAGAACGAATCGCTTTCAATTGTGAATCGCTTGAAAAGTACACCAAAAAAAGTCTCGTATTAATTGCCTGTAAATGTCCTCTTGTTAACATGCAAAGAACCGGAATAACGAAATTCCTGGAACAATATTTTTAGAAAAATTTAGTGAAAGAAAATCCGGAAATACAATAAACCCAATCACTTTCTCACATTTTCCACAAAGCTTTCGTATTATCAACTTTTTAACAGCCTATATACCTTCGTCATATAGATAATTAACAAATTAAACGAAATTATCTAGAATATGTGGGTTGTGTTATCTTTGTTAATTAGAACTGTACGGAACACCTGCAATTTTTTATTAACTTTGTTTTGGAAAGTTTTCCGAATTTTCATTCGTCGCAATTGCGCGCGTGTTAATTAGGTTCGGTCAAATGTTTGGTAATGGTCATTATAATTAGAATACGATATTATAAGAATACGATATTATAACGGAGTATCAAAAATAGACAGTGGAGGAAATGAGGAGATTACGAAAACCGAGAAATTATCGAAATTTCGAAAGGCGCTTCAAAAGACGTCACGACGCGTGCCAAGTGAAAACAACTCGGATGATATACAGGGTTGTTTGCTCAGCCGCTTTTATGACACCTCTAATATCGCTATAACGAAAACCGAGAGTAATTGCAAATTAAATTATCCAACTGCCCGTATTTATGTAATTTGTTAGTTCCCACTTCCTGTGCGTTCCCCTGCATGGCAACAACTCTTTTGTTATCTGTAGATGGCTACAACACAGTCGACCTCCAGGTGTTCGGAGTGAATTGGAAAAAAAAAGAGACCAACAGGCGTCGGACTCGGACGATCGCTCGTTCAACTAGGATGTCTCCGAGCCGAGGGGTTCAGCATTTTGTTATACCTACTTTACTCCACCGTATT